CCTCCTCCCCCTCCTCCTCCTCCTCCTCCTCCTACTCCTCCTCTTCCTCCCCTCCCTTGCTATTATTCTACTTTCCATTACCATCGTCTTTCTTTTCATCTTCCGTTCTCATCATCCTACTCTCCATTACTATACTTTTCTTTATCAGCGCTCCTTTCTTTATGATCCTCTCTTCTCCCTCACCTTCTCATCGTCATCGTTATCATCATTGTATCCTTACCCAACAGGCACCATCGTGACGACGGCTGTGTTCGGGGCTCCTGTCGGGCTCCTCTTGGGAGGAGCTATGAGCTCAACTCCTGTGGACCTCAGCGGTAAGCGATCTCATTTACACTGACATTATGGACTTTAGAGGTAAACTATCACATTCACAATGACATTATGGGCCTTAATGGTGAACTATCATATTCATAATGACAATATGGACCTTAGAGGTAAACTATCATATTCACAATGACATTATGGGCCTTAGAGGTAAACTTTCATATTCACAATGGCATTATGGACCTTAGTGGTTATTAAGCTATCACATTCACACTGACACTATGGGCCTTAGTGGTAAGACACCGCTATATACTGGGCTCTTTCGCAAGCGACTTGAATTTGCAATTTAAATGATTTTAAAAGAAATTTGCAAAGTCAAGTCGCTTTCGAAAATTTATATTATGTTAGGAGAGGCGCTAATGCATTGGAACACATGACTCTGGATGACTCAAATCGTGAGTTTAAAATATTCGCGAAAAAAGAAAAGGGCAAAATACGAAAAAAGAAGCGCTGAAAACAACAAAAACAAACAAACAATCAAACAAACAAACAATCAAACCAACCAACCAGCCAACCAACCAACCAACGTACCAACCAACTAACCAACCAACCAACCAACCAACTAACCAGCCAACCAACCAACCAACCAACTAACCAGCCAACCAACCAACCAAGCAACAAACAAGCAAGCAAGCAAGCAAGCAAGCAAACAAAACAAATGAGCAAACAAACAGATAAACAAACAAAACAAACCCCAAAAATCACTCAAAATAAACAATTCCTCCTTTCTTCCAAAAGAAAACCGACATTAATTAAAGGAAAAAAAAAAGAACTGGCGTTGGATTTAGTGCTTACACAGAAACTCTGTTTCGGATCCCCAACGTGGATCTTTTGAAAACTTCTTAGTGAAGTTTTTTTTTGGGGGGTACTTTTCTTAAAGCTGTTCGCTCACCTCACACTGTGCCACCAGTTTGATTATAAATAATCAAGAGACATTAAATCCACAGGCTGCTTCAAAATACAGATTTTATGACATGGTGGTCAGTTGAGAGCGAGAATATTTTGATCAATATAATGAAGACGATACAATAAATGACTAGAAGATAGTGTAACCCCCCCCCCCAACAACAACTGTATATGCAAGTGGGTGGTGGGGGGGGGGGGTTCTTTTATGGTTTACTCCTTTTTCCCCCACCAAACTACTATCGTCTTTATCCCCCCCCCCCACCTTCTTTTCTTGTTTGTTACTCTCTTCTCATCTTCGGCACTTATATGACATAATTGTGTTGCAAGTGCCGTAAAACTATTACTAAAACATTAAACAAAAAATAAAAACGGGATGAGTCCATACCACATCGAAGAGTGGCTGGTTGGACTAGGCGTCTGATGTTGCGTGAAATAACGTCCCAAGAAGAAATGAGAGATGGAAACGGGGAGTGGGGTTGGGGAGGGGAGTGGGGGTTGGGTGGGGGTGGAGAGGAATTTATTGGCGTAAATAGGAGTAAAAAGTGGCCGGGTGAGCAGATAGAACACACAGGCAAACCAGAATTGATGTAGTTGAAGCACACTATGTACTTCCAGCATGTAATGCCAATCCTTCTTTCCAAATAATAATCGAAAGGAACCACTATAGTGTGGTCAAAATTCTTGGCGCAACTTACTGTCAAAATCCCCTCTGCTATCGAACTTTTGCACGAACACTTGTATCAATTTGTCTCAATAGATCAATATTTTTTGTAAACAAGTGTTCACCGTGTTCTTGAAAATTCCTTGATAAATACTGTTATTAAAACCTGGAAGGTGGTTTCTGCTGATTTTAAAAGGTATACCTCCGGAACTGTGACAACAGCACTTTTAAAATCAAATCCGTCCTTAATAATAATAATAATAATAATGGATTGCATTTATATAGCGCATATCCACTTATGCAATGCTCTATGCGCTTAACATGAT